ATTCCTTCTCTGTAAGCCATACAGAAGCTTGGTGCGGAGCCAAGTGGCCGCTGGGAGGTTGTGTCTCCAGGGGAGGCAATATTTTCCAGTGGACGGGCCTTTCATTACCAAGATCTGCCTCACCTCTAATGGGTCAACCACAGGGCTTCCACCAACTCAGGAAAGTGCTCTGTGCTCTAAAAAAAAGGCTGGAATCCATGCTTTCCCCAGGGGCTAATACTGAAACAATAACAGGAACTTCTCCACCCACCTCTGTCTGCCTCAGGTAGTTGAGGTTTTAGAAAGGAGTTGATTGTTTTTCAGTCTTTGGAAGATCCTGATCTCTCTTTTATCCAGCCCCCTCCAAAACAAACATACCTGGGCCTGTGTGGGTCCTCAGAGGCATAGTCCTGGCTGTTGGCTTTGGCGGGTCCCTGACTGCCTAAGAAAAGACTTGGATGCTCCATCCCCACAAATAGCACAGACCTCCCACAGATAGTTCTCCTAAGCCCTTTGCTGGGCATAGGGAAATGGGGGCAAATATTTACTCTCGGAGGAGTTGGATTCTCATCACCTAGAACAGCGCCTAGCAAGAGGTGGGAATTCAGTGGGCTGATACGTTGGTGGAATAAATGAGTGTGTGCCACATGACTCCAGTTTCCAGGCCAAGTGTGGCGTTCCCTCTCCAGGCAAATACCCCCTTGACCTTCCACCTTCCTTTCTGAAATTTTGAAGTTCAACTCCACCAATATTTTTTAAACTGGGGGGTTAGAAAGGTAATAAAGACATGACCTACTAACTATTAAATACTGAGTAGTTAAAAAAAATGCAGACCTGGGATCCAGTCCTATTTTTCCATTTATCTTTTTTTTTTTTTCCCCAGAATCTCTCTGTTGCCCAGGCTGGAGTGCAGTGGTGCAAACACAGTTCATTGCAGCCTTGACCTCCTGGGCTCAAGCAATCCTCCCACTGTGGCCTCTGGAATGGCTGGGACTCCAGACACATGCATCACACCTGGCTAATCTTTTTTTAAATTATTTTTTGTAGAGACAGGGTCTCACTATGTTGTCCAGGCTGTTTTCGAACTCCTAGGCTCAAACGATCTTCCTCCCTGCCTCCCAAAGTGTTGGGATTACAGGCGTAAGTCACTGGGCTTGGCTACATTTATCTTTCTGATAATAGGAAGGTCACTTAACTTCTCTGAGCCTCAGCTTCTTATTATAAATAGGTAATAGTATGTATCTCAAAAGACTGGTGAAAATTAAACAACACATAGTACTCAGCACAATGTCTGGCACCTAGTAAGCACTCAGTACATGATAATAATAACTACTAACATTGAATTCATGCTCGGCACTATTCTAGGTGCTGAGGTTAGAGGAATACAAAAGAAAACGACAATTCTATAATAAACATATAAGCAAATTGGACAATTCAAGTACTGACACATATTATGAAAAACTAAGATAGATGATGGGACATTGGAGGGAAGCAGTGTCAAGAAATGCCCCCTACCCCAGGTGACATGTGAACTGAGATCAGGATGATAAGGAAAAGAGGCCAACCAGTGAAAAGTCAAGGGAAGAATGTCCCAGACAGAGGGAAGAGCTAATCCAAAGACCTGGGGGCAAGAATGAGCAGGCAGAGACCAGCCAAAGCCAACATCCAGGAATGAGCTCTGTACATTCCAGGAATGGCACAACCAGGCTGGCACGGCTGGAATGAGGCAAGGAGGGCAGCAACAGCAAGAAGTGAGGCTGGAGATGCTGGTACGTTTGGCTATGAAGGTCATTAGGATGAGTTTAGCTTTCATTATAAGAGCAATGGGAAGCCCCCATGTGAGTTGAAGCTGAGGAATAAGATAATCACTCTGGCTGCCTGTGGAGAAAATGGAGTGTGGGGAGAAGAGTGAAAGCAGCATTGAATACAATGAGTTCTAAGTTTCTCTTCAAATAATCATTATGTCAGTATGTTCAGTATTTTATCCCCCATTTCAAAGTTTAACTTCCTCGTACTTTCAGTAAACAGCCTTTTCCATCAGTTCTGATCAGTAGTTCACATCTGTTCCCCTGGTCACCTTTTCTGTCCTGACTCATCCTGGTCACCTGCTTTGACCTGAGTCACCCCTAGTCACCTGCTATGACCTGAGTTACCTTTAGTTACCTGTTCTATAATTGTTTTTCCCACCAAACTGCTCACCCCACCACTCTGGTTCATACCCCTGCTCTCTTTAAAATAGCCAATCGGAATTAGCTTAAACTTTGCAGTTCAACCCTAGCCACTAGGGCAATGACACAGCAATAGGGACTACCTGAGTCAGGGATAAGAACTCCTGACTCAGGTATTTAGGTGTGCGCTTGCCATTGCTCCATCTGTAAGATACACCCTTCTATAGAAGTAAATTGCCTTGTTGAGAAAATTTATATTTGAGTGCTACTTCTTTTGTGGCACTGAAAATTTACATATAACAGGCTGGGAGCAGTGGCTCAAGCCTGTAATCCCAGCACTTTGGGAGGCTGAGGTGGGTGGATCGCCTGAGGTCAGGAGTTCGAGACCAGCCTGGCCAATATGGTGAAACCCCCTCTCTGCTAGGAATACAAAAAAATTAGTTGGCCAGGGTGGTGTGTGCCTGTAATCCCAGATAGTTGGGAGGCTGAGGCAGGAGAATTGCTTGAGTCTGGCAGGTGGAGATTACAGTGAGCAGAGATTGCACCACTGCACTCCAACCTGGGCAACAGAGTGAGACTCTTTCTCAAAAAAAAAAAAAAAAGAAAGAAAAGAAAAAAGAGAATTTACATATAACAGCAGGAACATTGGTCAATCAGCTAGTGTAGTGATCCAGGCATGGATGATAGTGTCTTGGACTACAGTGACAGTGCGAACAGGGAGAAGAGTGCAGATGTGTACATTTTTAAATCACAGCATATGGAGATAAGAGAGGTGGGGGAGTGTGTGGAGAAAAAAAGGACATACAGGAATGATCTTAGGTTTTTGTCCTGAAAGACTGGGTGGATTTTCTGAGATGGAGAGCAATGGATTTTAAGGAAAACATCAAAAGAAAACTTCTATACAAGGTAGGCTGGAATATGGCACAGTGACAGTACCAAGTGCAAAGGGAGAGTGGCAAGAGAGAGTGGCTAACTCTGGAGCTAAGGAGAATGTGGGAAGGTTAGGTGGAGAATGGAATTGGAACTGAGCCTTGCAGGACTGGAGATGGGAGGGCTGCTGGTCCAGGTGAATGGAGTGGTTTGAACCTAAGTTTGGGGGTATGAGCAGGCACCATAAGCTAATTTTCAAATTTACATATTTGTTTCTGTCAGCTAAGAAAACTGAAACTAAGAGAGGTTAAATAACTTGCCTAAGTAAAATATGGTACATATATGCCATGGAATACTAAGTAGCCATAAAAAGGAACAAGATCATGTCCTACGCAGGGACATGGATGGAATTGGAAGCCATTATCCTCAGCAAACTAATACAGAAACAGAAAACCAAACACTGCATGTTCTCACTTACAAGTGGGAGCTGAATAAGGAGAACACATAGACACGCACTGGGGCCTGTCAGAGGGTGTGGGGAGGTGGGAGGAGGGAGAACATCAGGAAGAATGGCTAATGGATGCTGGGCTTAATACCTAGGTGATGGGATGATCTGTGTAACAAACCACCCTGGCACACATTTACCTATGTCACAAACCACATCCTGCACATATATCCGGATCTTAAAAGCTGGAAATAAAAAAAAAAAAGAAATCTTCCCTAAGGTGATACAGTTAGAAAGTGATGAAACAAACATTCTCCCTCCAAAGCAGAAGTGCTGAATGGTGACACTGAGCACAGGAATACAGAGTAGCAGAACATTGGAAAGGTAAGGCTGGGCCACATTCTGAAGGGCCTGGAGTGCCAGGATGAAAAGATTTGGCCTTATTTTGTAGGCGTGGATGAAGAGCATCCATGATCAGATGCCACTTGCCCATGATTTTGGAAAGTGCACTTGGTTAGATAGATGGGCCCACACTGGATAACACTTCATAACATTCATTTATTCATTTTATTTTAAAAATCGTGTCAGTTACTGTACTAGGTTCTGGGGTAATAATGACAAGCAAAAACCCTTGCCCACATGGAAGAACTTGAAAAATTAATAAAATAAGCACACAGGTGTAGAAACGGAACCACTGAGTGGCAATTACATGGTACTGAGATCACTCAGTCACCAGGATTTGACCTACAATGGGGACCGACCTAGACTTCCCTGTTGAGAACCGGACATCCATGGACCCCAGTTCTAGGCCATCCACTGTGAGCTAAGGCAAGACACTGCCTCTGTGGACCTCAGTTTCCCCATTTATGAAGAAAGAGACACTACATAATTTAATTCTCCTCCAACTCTAACGGTCTGGGATTTTTTTCCTCCAAAGAGCACAGATCTGTATCCCACTATAAGGCTACTAACTGGTACCCAGTGTCTTGACATTAGAGGAGTAATTCCGCCATTGCCTCTCCCTTCCGGAAGGACTCGGTCGTTTCCCCGTTGTCAGGGCAACCGCCTGGCCACCGCCTCTCCTCTCCTCCCCCCACTGGCTGCTCTCCTTTGCGGAAACTCGGGAGAGACGCCCTTGTACGTCACTATCATGCGTCCCATTTGCCAGGTTATAACATGGCTACCACAGCAACACCCCACCCAGGCTTTTCACTAAATATCCGAACCTAACCACCGCTTAGGCCCACTCCAGATCAGGAAAAGGAGGAACACTAGTGCCGGTGCAGCCACCAAAACTTCCGGAAGCTCCATCAGGCACTTAACTCTCCTGATCTCTCGGGTAGGCACCCTCCCACCACCCCCATCGTCACTTCCGTCGGCCGACAGCACTCAAGATTGACAGGCTGGGACGTCCAGTAAGATGCGGGCCCAGCCCCAAAGCCGAGGCGAGGGGCGGGTTTGAGAGCGGAAAGCCCCACCCCTTGCCTGCGTGTGACGTCAGAATCGCCATGGCCAGCTATCCCTACCGGCAGGTGAGTGTGTGAGGGGACCGTGAATCCAGGTAGGGGCCGTGCCCCGCGCAGGTCCGGCGACCCCCGCTTCTTTCTGCCCGCTTTCTCTGCGCACTTCTCACAATGGGTTCGCTTCAGCGAGGCTTCGCGCTGTAGAGAACTGAAAAGGGACCGTCGGTCGCGCCCTGCTCACGTCATGAAGGACCGCACATTTAGCAGGTCGTGTCGCGCCCCCTTTGACGTCGCTCACGCGAAAATTTGGGGACCTTGGACCCCAGCCTCCTAAGGCTCCCACGGGGGCCTTGGGCGGGGGCATCAGCCATGACCGGACGTTTAGAGTTCTGGTTCCATCGATCTCATTTGGGGTGTCGGATAAAATTCCAGGCTTCCGGACCCACCCCAGCACTGCATCACAGTCATCAGGAAACTCTGGTTGTAGCAGGCGCCACAAGTGAGCTGGTTTGACCACTGACTTAGTTCAACACCTCCATTTCGCTTTTAGGAAAGTGAACCCCGAGAAGATACAGAACTTACCTGAAGTCACCAGGCAGTTAGCCAGCAGGGCCGAGGTCAGAACCCGGGCTGTCTTCAGATGCCTCTTCCCCAGCCCATCTTGATTCAGCCAGGAATACCACAGCAAGGTGACTCTGTGGCCAGAATTCTTTGTTGGGTGTTAGTAGGGTGTTTAAGTGCAGTTTGGAGTCAGAGGTAGGTTCACATCTTGGCTCTACCACCTAAATAGTTGTGAGCCCTTGAATATTTTGTCGTTCCGAGTCCAAGTGTCCTCCTGTAAAATAGGGCCGAATAATAGGGGCTGCCTTAGAAAGCTGTTGTGGAGAGTAAGGAGGTGAGGCTTATGAAGCATTTGGTATATAGTAAGGTGTAACGTGTTGCCCTTCAGCGTTTTGATTTTCCTAGGCTTCTAAAAGGCCAGTGCCTGGAGGGCCCTCAAAATAGTCCCCTCATTTTACAGAGGAGGAAATGAAGCCCACAGAGGCCTGCCATCACACAGTTATTTAGAAGATGAAACCCATACAGGAAAAGTGGGAAAACAAGATCTATTGGTATATTACATAATGCTCAAATGAGTATAGTCACATGCTAAAAGATGTAACAGCCCTTCCAGGGATTACAGTCTTGTACAGGTTATGCAGTATTTGGACCTCCATTATCCTAATCATGAAGGCCCTATTGGCATGCAGGTATTATTACCCCTAATTTATTGCTAAGGAACAAACCCAAAGAGATTAAGTGGCTTTTCAAAGGTCATATGTAGTAAGTGAGGGTGAGGCCATGACCAGAGCTTAGGACTTCTCTGATTGCATTCTTAGAGAGAGGTAGGAAAGAGAGGCCAGTGCAGGCTGGAGTTAGGAGAAAGTGTAACGTAGCCTTTGTGTTCTAAACTCCGTTCCACTTGCTGAGTCTTGTAAGTTGTTAATAGATATTGTTAATAAAGGAGGAGTCTGTAGTTAACTAAAGTTTTGGAAATACTCTTGTTAAGTATAGCTGAATAATGTTGACCATAAGTCATTTTCAAAATTCCCTTTTTTTGAGATGGAGTTTTGCCTTGTTGCTCAGGCTGGAGTGCCGTGGCACCATCTCGGCCCACCACAACTTCCACCTCCTGGGTTCAAGGGATTCTCCTACCTCAGCCTCCAGAGTAGCTAGGACTACAGGCGTGCGCCATGACGCCTGGCTAATTTTTTTTTTTTGAGACAGAGTTTCGCTCTTGTTACCCAGACTGGAGTGCATGCCACGATCTCGGCTCACCGCAACCTCCGCCTCCTGGGTTCAGGCAATTCTGCCTCAGCTTCCCGAGTAGCTGGGATTACAGGCACGCGCCACCATGCCCAGCTAATTTTTTGTATTTTTAGTAGAGACGGGGTTTCACCTTGTTGACCAGGATGGTCTTGGTCTCTTGACCTCGTGATCCACCTGCCTTGGCCTCCCAAAGTGCTGGGATTACAGGCTTGAGCCACTGTGTCCAGCTCAGAAATTTTAATTTGCTAATGTACATTGTAAATCTTCCAGAAAGGAATATAATATGCAGTGTTTCTTAAACGTGTTTAACCACAGAAACTCCCTGTCCCCTCTTTCTTTTCAGATGTCTGGTCACTTTTTGTGACTCTGGTATTTCTGAGGAACACAGGCTGAGAAAACATTCATAGTGCCTTGTTTCCCAGCTGTTGGTCTTCTGCCTCAGAATCACCTGAGACCTTGTTTAAGAAAGCACACTTTTGGGTCCCACTTCAGACCTGTTCTGTACCCAGGAATCTACATGTTAACAAGCATTAGGGACAATTTGTTTGCATTCTAAAAGCAATGACAAGTTAGACAGAACTGTGCTAGAATTCTAGCTGTATTACTTAATAGTTATATACCCTTAGACAAACTAAGGGCTCTGAGCCTCGCCTTTCTCACCTTTATAAGAAGAAATAATATCCATGAAAAGGGCTAAAATGAGGTTGAAATGCAGGGAGCCTCTCACGTTGCTAGTGCCTGGTACATGCCAGTGTCTGGTGGCAGCTCCTGCTGCCGTGACTGCTCTCATCATGCCATGCTGCCTGGGCTATTCTTGGAGTGAAATACTGAAAAGGAGCACAGAGAGAAGAATCTGGAATAGAAAAAGAAATGGTGCTTTTTTTCCTACCATACCCTTGGCCGCCTCCTGGTCTCAGGTGTTCTAAGAAAGGAAACGGGTTGTTTAAAGCATTTCAGTCAGTGCTGCCTCCCCTCCACCCACTACATAGCTTTGGAGGATTCCAGCCTGGTGTTAGGAGTCCAAATTCCTGTAATTTTCCACTGATTCCAGTCCAGGGTACCCAGGCCAGGACTGAGTGTTGGAGTGGTAAAATTCAAGCACCCTTGGGTCCTATAGGGGAGCCTGTTGGGGGATTTCAGTGCTTAAGAGCTTAGTCTCCGAGGCCACGGAGATTTGGCTTCAAATCCCTGCTTTGGCCACTCCCTTGCAGAAGTTTGCTGCAAAAGTCTGAGACTCAGTTTTTCCTTCTCTTTTTTATTTCTATCTTTTAATTTTTTTTTGAGACTTTTTTTGTTTGTTTGTTTTTTTGAGACAGAATCTCCCTCTGTCACCCATGATGGAGTGCAATGGCACGATCTTGGCTCACTGCAGCCTCTGCCTTCCAAGTTCATGAGATGCTCCTGCCTCAGCCTCCCAAGTAACTGGGACACCACCACGCCCAGCTAATTTTTTGTATTTTAAAGTGCTTGGTATGGTGTTGGGCATGTAAAATACTCCCAAGTGGAGGAGTAATGCAGTTATGTAGATTGAAGAGGCAATGTGATAAGTATGAAATGGGAGTAAGTGTTAGGTACTAGGACAGCATGGGAGAGTGAGATACCTAACTCAGTCTAGGGTGCATCAAGACTTTTTAAAGAGGTGATATTTAAGCCAAAAACTGAATCACTGGTAGAAATTAGCTCAGTGAAGAAAGGAATGATTCCAGCAGAGGAAATAGCTGCACAAAGCCCAGGAAGCAAGTAAGACCGCATAGTATTCTGTAGGGACGTGAAGAAGCTCAGTGTAGTTGTAGTGATGTGCGGGAAAGGGGTAAGAAATAGACTAGAAAGGTAAGCAAGGGCCAGGTCCCAAAGGGCCTTGTATACCTTTTTGGAGAGTGTGACTTCATTCTGAGAGTAGTGAGGGAGCCAGAGAAGTGTTGTGTCCCATTTGTGCTTTGGAGCGTTGACCTTGGGGTGCTGTGAGAATGGACTGAAGCAGGAGAGACAGGAGGCATGTATACCAGTTTCGAAGCTATTGAGGTAATCTAGGTTAACAAGAACTGTGACCTGGTAGAGAAGATAGGAGAAACACTCGGAAGGTAGAGTTGAGAAAACCTGGTGCCTAAGTGAGGTGACAGAGGGGAGGAAAGAGGAGGCTCCCGGGAGGGCACTAAGGCTTTAGGTTTGGATCATGAGGCGGAATGGAGCTCCATTCACTGTGATGAGAACACGGAGGCGTAGGTTTGGAGGGAAGGTCCAGGAGGCTGCTGGATATGTGGGTCTGTAGCTCGGGAGTGATGAAGCTGGACAGAAAGATTTGGAAGTGTGAGCACAGAGGTGGTAACTGAAGGCTGGGGACAGACCTTGCTCATTGTTTATTGGTTGCATGCTTCTCTCCTATTTCCAGTGGCTCTGTTGATGAATGCTTGAACCATTCCTTTTGTCTTGTGATTGTTTAACCCCTTAGTTTGGGCTTCCTACCTCCTCCTGTGGATACTTGTAGTTCTGGGGTGCAAACCTGTCTTTGCAATGGTCCCTCCTCTGTTTGTCATCAGGGCACAGCTTGGAACAGCCTTTGATACCTTTGAACTTCACAAGGGTCTTGAGGGTAGAAGAGTGAGTCCTCAGAACTTGGAAAAAAAAAAATACAGGACTTTCTGAGTGGATTATCTGGGAGGAGGTAAGCTCCCTACTGCTTGTAGGAGTGCAAGTAGACATTCTGGGTGGTGCTGCAGAGACTCCATTATGAACTGAGAGGTTGGACTGAAGAGTCTTTTGGGTATCTTCCAAAATGTGGCTCTCAAACTGGGTTGAGGTGCTGGGATGAAAAAGAATGAGATTTTTCTGAGATTCCCTGATTTCTGGGCTTGAAAGGTCTGAGAGATCACCTAAGCCAGCCTTCCCCCTCTACCTCTGTCCACGGTAGAAATTAATTATATTTGACAAAGACATTTAGCACAATCCATCGCACAGACACATGCTAGGCACTCACTCATTTATTGAGTGAACAAACAGAAAGGGGGGTAGTGTAGAGTCATGCAGACCCTGACTTGAATCCCGCCTCGCCCATTCTAGCTGCATGATCTCAGGCATGTTATTCAACTTTCTGCCTCTTAATTTTCTCATCTGCAAAATGGAGATGATGGTGCTTACCTCACAAGACTGAGGGTCAGTGAGAGCTGATTGAACTGGAAGCACCTAGCAGAGCCTCAATAACTGTTCATTGCCCCCAGTCCCCCAGGGCATCAGATGTAGCTTTTTTTCTGTGTTGCTTCAGAAGCAGCAGTTACTGAACTCTTCCTGTTTTACCCCCTTCACAAACTTGTGTTTATCAGTATGAAATACTCTTGGAAAAACGCTAAAAAGGGCTGGCAGCAGGGAGTAGTGTAAAAGAACATGGAGTCACGGACTCTGTTTTTCATTTCTGGTTCAGACCTTTGCTAATAGCTCAGTGACACTTGGTGACCCTCTGTGAGGCAGGGACCAACTCATCTTCCCCAAACTTCCTGTGTAGCCTGGATTCTGTCTGGATTGGCTCCACCTCCATCTTGTGTAAGCTAGAAACCTGAGTCATTCTAAACACTTTCCTGACGCCCCCTCCATCCCTTTGCTAATCTAATTAGTCACCAAGTCATGTCTGGTCTGTCTCTCAAATAGCTTCAGAATCCATTCCATTCTCTTCATCCCCAAGTGTGCCGTCTGGTTCCTGCCCTGCCTGCCCAGCACCAGAGCTGCTGCCTCCCTTGCTAGCTCATTCCCCACACTGCCACTGCTTACTTCTCTAAACAAGGCTCTGATCACATTCCTCTCCTATTGGAAACCCTTCTGTAGTGCTCTGTTTTCCCCAGCATAAAGTCTAAACCAAACTCTTTAGAGTGATGTTCATTTGTTCAAATATTTACGGAGGCTCACAGGTGCCAGGCACTTTGCTGGGCCCTGGGGTACCATGATGTACGAGGCCCAGTGTCTGCCCCTGGGGGGCTTACTGTTGGGTGGGGGAGATGCTAGACAGATCACTACTCTGAGACACTGATAACTCACAGCTAACTGAACTGGAGTGGGAGAGGTGCTTGGTCAAGGAGTGTATAAAGGGCCTGCCTTTCTGGGTTCAAACCACATTCTTGCCTCTGCAGTTTACCTCATTCCCTGAATTCACTGTGCTCATTCATAAGTCTGTGCCTTTGTCTTTTTCCTCCTGTCTGGAGTGTCCTTCCCTGCCTGCCTTTTTAAGAATGTCTATGCATCCTTCCAGGACTAATTCCAGTATCACTGCCACTTCCTCCAGGAAGCCTTCCTTGACCTGCTTCATGTGTTCATTTATTCATTCTACAGACAGCAGAAATTCCTCCATCTAAGCTTCCTTTATAGCACATAAGTAGATTTTTTGATGACACTGATCAGATTGTATCATAATTGTCTGTGGGCTCCTCAAGGGCAGGACCTCATTTAGTTATGACCTCAGGCCTACCACAATATCGTCACTCGGAAAATGTGTGCTGAATGAAGTCATTTAACAGCTCTGTGCCTTAGTTTCTTCATTTGAAAAAGAGGCCAACTAACATCTTCCTTTTTTCTGTTAGGAGGCTGTTGGCAAGATTCTGCCAGTAGTGTTTGTGTGTTTGAGTGCTTTCTAAACTACACAGGAGGTCTTTAATGCAGGACAGAAAGGAAAGGGTTTAATTGCTCCAAACTGCAGTGGGCCTCTGGAATGTGATAGCAAGAAGGGCAGAAGATCTGCCTGGCAGCACCTGCTTTGTTGGCTTGGGGGTGTTTCCCAGCTGGTTTTTTAGGTGGGTTTTCCTAGGTGCCAGGTACGGTTTATAGCTTTGCTCACAGGGCTTATAGTGGGGCAGCTACTTCTGGCCTGTTCTTCGGGGTGTGCCCAGATTCTGCAGAGTCCCTACCCCCTTTCCATCCTTATGCTAGCATCCTCAGCCCTTTTGCTTAAGGAAGGAGCATTGTAGCAGGAGGCAGAGGGAGTCATTGGGTGCAAGAGAGCAGTCCAGCCTCGTCTCTGCCGCCAGCTCACGGCATGACTTGTGTATGCTGCCTCCCCCACCTGTAAAATGAGGGTGTTAGGTTAAATGACTTGTCTTCTGGATGTTTCTTTTGTCACACCTCTCAACCCCTTCGGAATCTTGTTCATTCTTTAAGTCCTAGCTCAAATGCCGCTCTCATGGAAACACCCTGATTTCCCCTCCTTCCTTTGCAGTCCTATGGCACATGACTTGTGTCTCCATTTCAAACACCTATTTTCCTTGTGCTGTTTTGTTAGACATTACACAGTGTCTCCATATTAAGTCCTGTTAACTATGAGCTCCTTCAGATTGCTTCACTCTCCTTTATTTATTGCTTCACACTCCCCACAACTGACCTGGCCCAGGACTTTGCTGACAATAGTAATGAATATAGTTGTAACAATAGCAGCTATGACTTACTGGTCATTTGCTTTATGACAAGCATTGTTGTAAAAACTATTTTTCTATGTGAGTGGTTTTCCGACTGTCTTTTCAGTCACTGTGAGGTTTCTTCAGAGGCCCTCCGAATCTAGCAAGGGAGGGGGTTCCATATAGTTGGGGAAGAGCCTCACCTTATTTCAGCCAGAGCAACTTTCTTGTATTATTTTATCAAAGGATTCTCTCTGTCTCTGTCTCTTGTTTTTTTTTTTTTTAGACAGGGTCTCGCTCTGTTACTAAGGTTGGAGTGTTGTGGCACTATCACAGCTCACTGTAGCCTCCAACTCTGGGGCTCAAGTGATCCTCCGACTTTAGCCTCCTGAGTAGCAGGGACTACAGGTGGACCACCACGCCCAGCTGATTTTTTTTTTTTTGAGACGGAGTTTCGCTCTTGTTACCCAGGCTGTAGTGCAATGGCACGATCTCGGCTCACTGCAACCTCCGCCTCCTGGGTTCAGGCAGTTCTCCTGCCTCAGCCTCCTGAGTAGCTGGGATTACAGGCACACGCCACCATGCCCAGCTAATTTTTTGTATTTTTTTTTAGTAGAGATGGGGTTTCACCATGTTGACCAGGATGGTCTCGATCTCTTGACTTCGTGATCCACCTGCCTCGGCCTCCCAAAGTGCTGGGATTACAGGCGTGAGCCACCACACCCGGCCCGATTTTTAAAATTTTTTGTAAAGGCAGGATCTTACTGTGATGCCCAGTTTGGTTATTAAAGATTTGATTCCTTAGTTAAAAATTAAACTAAGAGAATTTTGCTGCATTTATTTCTTGTAATCTGCGGAACAGTCCAATGAAGAAGAGATTGTTCTATTTGTGAGGAAGCAGGCTCAGAGAGATGAAGCCTCGGGCCCACAGTCATTAACTCAGCTGATGGGAGCAGAGTTTTAAATTGAGATCTGTCTGAGCTCTTCTTGTCTGTAAAGGAGTCTTTCCGGCAGCTTTGACAACTTCTAGGGAGAAAAAGCTCCCAGGGATTGCTGATTGGGGGAGGTGGCAGGGCCTGCTTCCTGTTCTCCTCCCAAAAAACCCCATGCCTCCAATTAGCCTTAAGAGTAATTGTCTCAGAAGCTATCAAACACAATAAAAAGAGAAAGCCCAGGCCCTCAGTGGGTTGGCCACTGTTACACTTATAGGTTGATTTAGAACATGTCTATATGGCTCTGTCCTCAGAGCTGTTCCCAGCTGTTCTCTGTGCCCTTGAGCTCAGCTTGTCTGCAGATGTATTGGGGCTCTGCTCTGCTGGGTCCAGTGCTAGCCATTTAGGGAGATGGAGTGGAACATGCCAAGCCTCAGGGATCCCTGGCTATTGGTGTGGGAAGATGGATAAGAGGGAAAGCCCCCATGTATGCTCTAATGCACAGATACCCTGGACTTAGAGCCAAGAGACCCAGGTTCTGGTCCCACCCCTTCCACACAGCCTGTGTGTGTGTGTGACTTTCCCGGGCTTGAGCCTTGTCCTCTGTAGGAGGCTGTTATTAGTAGTTAATGTTTACTGAGTGCTTACTCTGTGCCAGGTCCTGTGTCAGAGTGCTTCACATAGCACTCTAAGCCTCATTTCATTCACATACCACCCTGAGAGGTAGCTACTATTACTATTCCCATTTTACAGCAGAAAATATTGAGACTTAGAGAGGATTAAGTCAGTCCAGTTAGTAAGTGGTGGACTTGAACTGATTGTTGTTTTTTTTTTCTTTTTCTTTCTTTCTTTTTTTGAGACTGGGTCTTACTCTATCACCCAGGCTGGAGTACAGTGGTATGATCATGGCTCACTGTAAGTCTTAACCCCACCAGGCTCAGGTGATCCTCCCACCTTTGCCTCCCGAGTCACCGGGACTATAGGTATGCGCCACCATGCCAGCTAATTTCTTTTTTTTTTTTTGAGTCTTGCTCTGTCACTAGGCTGGAGTGGTGGCAAAATCTCAGCTCACTGCAACCTCTGCCTCCCTGGTTCAAGCGATTCTTCTGCCTTAGCCTCCCTAGTAGCTGGGACTACAGGCGGGTGTCACTATGCCCAGCTAATTTTTTTTTTGTATTTTTAGTAGAGATGGGGTTTCACTGTGTTGGCCAGGACGGTCTTGATCTCTTGATCCACCTGCCTCGGCCTCCCAAAGTGCTGGGATTACAGGAGTGAGCCATTGTGCCCAGCCTCGATTTTTTATTTTATTTTATTTTTTAGTAGAGATGGTGTTTCGCCATGTTGCCCAGGCTTGTCTTCAACTCCTGGGCTCAGGCGATCTGCCCGCCTCAGCCTTTCAAAGTGCTGGGATTACAGGTGTGAGCCTCCATGCCTGGCTGTTGAACTGGCCTTTTAAACCATTGTATCATATTGCCTTAGGAATAGGGTCTCCCTGCCTGCCTCACGGAGTTGTGAGTGAGGATAGGGAAATGTTTTTACATCAGGATCTACAACCGGGTAAGGAAGACATGCTGTGAATGAATCCACGCTATAGATATGTTGTTGGTGACCGATGAGGGTCAGGGGTATGTGTTAGAGACTGCATTTGCCTTGTGAGTCCTGCAGATAGAGCAGATAGAGATGGGGGTACCACAGGATGGGCATTTGGAATTCTCTTTGATTCATCTGCCTATTCATTCATATAGGAAATACTTACTGAGCATCCATTATACACTGGGAACTGGGGATAAAGTGACAAACCAGACATGATCCCAGCCCTTGTGGAGCCCCTTGGTATGAAGGAAAGGAGAGTTAGGAGAGCAGGATTCCACACTGACTCTGCAGGTTATTGGTGGTATGACTTTGGGTAAACTCAGTTTGCCCATCTCAGAAGAGAGATCTTAATTCCATTCCTACCTGTAGGATCAGTTGAAGGCTGGTGGTAGAAGTGCCTTAGGGCTGTAAAGTGCCATACTCTGCCTAGTTTCTGGCCTTGTCATTCTGACTGATATCTTGCTCTTCCTGCAGGGCTGCCCAGGAGCTTCAGGACAAGCACCAGGAGCCCCTCCGGGTAGCTACTACCCTGGACCCCTCAATAGTGGAGGGCAGTATGGCAGCGGGCTACCCCCTGGTGGTGGTTATGGGGGTCCTGCCCCTGGAGGACCTTATGGACCACCAGCTGGTGGAGCGCCCTATGGACACCCCAATCCTGGGATGTTCCCCTCCGGAACTCCAGGAGGACCATATGGCGGTGCAGCTCCAGGGGGCCCCTATGGTCAGCCACCTCCAAATTCCTATGGTGCCCAGCAGCCTGGGCCTTATGGACAGGGTAAGTAGTGATCCTGGACTCTGGGTACATCTGACGTGGTTCTGAGTTATCCATGGCCAGTCCTTGTCCTCCCTGTGGATGGGCAGACAGCCTGATCTCTGGCATCTTAGCATCTTGCTTCCAGCTTCAGTGTGTGTCCTCAAAATGAGAATTCTGTCAGTTTTGTGACAAGCATTTATTTGTATTGTTTGTTCACGCTTATGTACTTTTGCTTACATGCCAGCAGCTGTTAGTTGGCTCTTGAGTTTCTGTTTGTGTGTCCTTTCATTCTGGCATCCATGCTGAAGGAGCAGCTCCTGTTTGGGATATGTTATCTTTGTGGCAGAGAGAAAAAGCAGGTGAGCCAATAGGAAAGCACAATGCCTCTTAGAGCCTCTTCTCTGAAATACTGTATAATACTGTATGTCTTGTCCACTCGCATTCTTTTGGCCAGAGCACCCCGATCAAGCCTGACATCAGCAGGATGGGAATGGATACCCCTCTGCAAGCCACCAGGCCGTGGGAGAGGATGTACGATGTTCTTACGAGGAAAGGGAGACTAGCAAATAATCTAGTAATAATTAGATTATTGAACTGGCCTTTTAAACCGTTTTGTACCATATTGATACAGTGTTTGTGGGTGTGCAGACTGTGTCTCCTGCTATAGATTATTAGCCAGGAGATGATAATGTAGCCTACCATGGGGAAAAACTCAATTTAAATATCCGTTTCTCTGTGCAAATATCTCAGAATGCACACATTCCGGGCTCTTTGCTAAGGATTTTATTTTGCCGTTATCTCATTTAATCATCACAACAATCCTAGGGAAATGGGTTTGTTTTAGAAATGTGGAAATCATTACTCAGAAAATTATGCATTTTGCCGTTAAGTCACAATCAGATCCAGGGTTTAAATCTAGGTCTACTTTGATTCCAAAGCCTGAGCTCTTCTATACAAACTGCACAGATCTGACATGTTACAGAAACTCTCCTGCCTCAGGGCTGTGGCCCTTGCTCCCCTATGACACTGATGTTTTAGGAGGATGGGTAGAATCTGCCCGGATTTTTCCCATCCAAGGAGTCAGACATCCCTGTCAGGCAAACCTTTTTTCCCTCTGTCCTAACTGGGCTTTGGTACTAGGCAGTAGTCTCCATCCTCCACAACTGCCCATGGCTGTCCTTGTGTGAAGGGGTGCCTATGGTGGCCCGTTAACTCAGTGTCCTAAGATAGACTTACTAGCTTTTACACTTCTGTCTACCACCCATTCCCCCATCTCTCAGCTCACCTTTTCCAGAGAATTCTTGAAATGATACAGGGATATGGGTCCCTGTTCCTTAAAAACATAAAATCATTTAGAGTAGTGGCTGCAACACTATACAAGAACTCCAGAGGACTCATGGAATAGTCAACTGCAGATACTCATGAATTTTCACTGAAGTTCCTCTTCCATCAGAATAAGAATGTCAACTTGATGAAAGGCAGGGTAGGTGAATTTGTAAGGCTTTGTGGGTAGGAAAAACCTGAGCCAGGAAGTTACCCAGGCTGGCCTTTCCCAGCCTTTCTGTTGATGGTCTTCACACCCCTTCCTCCAGGTGGCGCCCCTCCCAATGTGGATCCTGAGGCTTACTCCTGGTTCCAGTCAGTGGACTCCGATCACAGTGGCTATATCTCCATGAAAGAGCTGAAGCAAGCCCTGGTCAACTGCAATTGGTCCTCGTTCAATGATGAGACCTGCCTCATGATGATAAGTGAGTCTCCGCCTTGCCCATGGGCCCGAGCCAGGGCAGAGCTACCTGATAGTGGGCAGTAGGTGGGCGGGTAGACATTCTGAGGAGAAATCCATTGACCAGGGAGGACTGCAAGGAGGAAGTTGGGTTCAAGGTGGGATCCTCTAGACTGAGAGCTGTTTTCCTGAGATCTTACTTATGTCCTAGACCCTGCCTAGTTACAGGCTAACCAGTTTCCTCTTCTGTAGAATGGTACTCCCTCTCCTGGTAGGAAATAGCAGAGAGGGCCAGGTGCCAAGCCTGCAGAGAAAATGCAATTCTGGATGGGGTGCGGCCAACGGTGGCCAGGGGAGGAGGCCAGTGCAAACACTTGATGTGGGTGTCTTAGGTACAAGCATCTGGGCCTTAGGCCTTGGTTCTGTGAAGTCTCCAGCGTGGAGAGAAGGGCTGCCTCAGTGAGGCCTGCTTGGGGCCCTTGGTCTTCAGTCTTAAAGCCTTCCTCCCTTCCTTTCTCTCCTCACCTTCAGACATGTTTGACAAGACTAAGTCAGGCCGCATCGATGTCTACGGCTTCTCAGCCCTGTGGAAATTCATCCAGCAGTGGAAGAACCTGTTCCAGCAATATGACCGGGACCGCTCGGGCTCCATTAGCTACACAGAGCTGCAGCAAGGTGTGGGCCATGGCCGGGGCACAATGGACAGGGCAGAGCTAGACTCTTCTCTTTATACCATAAGGTGCAACAAGGGGTTCTCCTCTTGTTACTGAATGTCTGCCTGTACTACAGAATGCTGATCTCAGTGCAGGCCTGGGTCCCTTACCTCTTCTGTGGCCCAGCTGGGGCACTGCGCCAAGATCCAGGGCAAGGAAACATCTGAGTCCAAAATCAGGGCTGTACCCCATGGTTATAGGACTCCCAGAATTCTGGGTGAAATGGCCCCAGCCACAGGAAGCCTTAAGAACGGAAACTTGGCACCTTAAGGACTACGGGACCAGTGTGTGTTGCTTGGGTGGCTCTTTCCTCTCCAGTTTCTAGCATGTTGAATGGAAAGAGCCCTAAACAGGGCTCAGAAAGATGGGTCTGTTGCCACCTCTGCTGGTGGGCAGTTTCTTTCCCAACTTTAAAAGTTGCACTTTAAAAGACCCTGAGCACTTTAAAAGTTGCAGTTGGGGAAGATGACCTGAGGCCAGAGCCCTAGGCCTAGTTCTAAACTGACTCTGTAATGCTGGAAGCTGCAGCTTGGGCTCAGGCAGGTTAGTAGGATGTTTGGGGGAGGACCCAAGAGGGAGCATTGCCACCCAGGAGGGAGAAAGGGCTCCCTGGAGAGTCTAATCCTTTGCCCAGGCTATGGATTTCAGTTAGACTAAGGAGATCTGTGGACAGGAGTGAGTGCGCCACATCTGCCCCCAGTAGAGGGGAAGGGAGATGACTGATACTAATCACCTGCTCTCCCCAGCTTTTGTCATAGATATTAGTAGGGGTGATATTAAACACAACAAAACTGATACTTATTGAATGCTTGCTATTTGTAATAGGTTTATATAATTCATTCTTCCCATGTGCTATTTATAATTCCACACCTTTTGATGAAGAATCCCTTGTTATCTCCCTTTTACAGATGAGAAAACTGAGGTTTAGTGTAGGTAACCTGCTCAAGGGCCTGCATAGCAAATGGAGAGCTGAGGTTTTAGCCTGGCCTGGTAAGTTATGAGCAGAGGAAGCAAGGAAGCATCCCAGTGGAGGGACAGGATGCTCCAAGAGACCTCGGAGTAGTGGTGACTTTATGAAAATAGCACTTACTGAGTGCTTTTTACGTGCCAGTCACTGTGCTAGGTGCTTTACATGATCACCCTTTTTAAACCTTACTAGAACCTACAAGTTAAGTATTAGCCCCATTTTAGAGATGATAAGGCAGGGATAGTGAGGCTAAGCAACTTGCCCAGGGACCGACTCCAGAGCAGGTCCTCCTACCTCTGCTGTGCGGCCTCTGATGTCTGCCCTAGGCAAGGTGGTCTGGGGGCTCAGAGATGATTGCAGGTAGTCTGTCGTCATCTGTGGAATCCCATGAGCCTCAGTTGAAGAGACAATAATGCGGATTTGGAGACAGAGGGATGAGGGGCTTCCAGCTAAGGGGAGCATCCAGACAGGGCCTCTGTTGTGCACCTGACATCTTGGACAGACCCTTGGGACCTCTGCCCTTTTTATGCTTTTGTGCCCATCCTCTTGAAGTCCCCTGAACTGCTGTGCTCCAGTATTGCTGATTGATGGAGGTGCTCATGGTAGGTTTTTGTGTGTCTGGTCTGTGTGCCCCTCTTCTCCAGCTCTGTCCCAAATGGGCTACAACCTGAGCCCCCAGTTCACCCAGCTTCTGGTCTCCCGCTACTGCCCACGCTCTGCCAATCCTGCCATGCAGCTTGACCGCTTCATCCAGGTGTGCACCCAGCTGCAGGTGCTGACGGAGGCCTTCCGGGAGAAGGACACAGCTGTACAAGGCAACATTCGGCTCAGCTTCGAGGACTTCGTCACCATGACAGCTTCTCGGATGCTATGACCCAACCCATCTGTGGAGAGTGGAGTGCATCACGGACCTTTCCTGCCTTCTTAGAGTGAGAGAAGCATGTGGACCTCTCTTCCTTTCCTGCCCCTCTAGAAGAACATTCTCCCTTGCTTGATGCAACACTGTTCCAAAAGAGGGTTGAGAGTCTTGCATTATAGCCACCAAATAGTGATGACTGGGCCTGAGGCCACAGGTAGGGGCCTGATGGAGGAGAGGATGGAAGCTGAATGTCCTGATAGCCATGAGCAGTTGAGTGACACAGCCTGGCACCAGGAGCAGGAGATACCAGTCCTCATAATGGAGTTAGTGTCCAGTCAGCTGAGCTCCACCCTGCTGCCAGTGGTGAGTGTTCATTGGCCTGTTACCATTAGCACCTGTGTTCCCTCACCACCCCTCAGGCCATCCTGTCACATGAGCTCATTTTCTCCAAAGTGGAATCTGACCAAGCATGAGAGAGATTTGCCCATGGGACCAGTGGCTTGGATTCCACCACACCCATAAATCCTTGTGTGTTAACTTCTAGTTGCCTGGGGCTGTCCCTCCTCAGGGAGCTTAGACAGATCTGCTCCCTGGGCATCTTTGGCCAAGGTACTGCCCTCTGCAGCTGGGACCCCTCACTTGCCTGCCATGGTCTGCCCAACTTTGGTCTCCAGGGGACAGTGGTCACCTCTCCCTGCCAATACTTTTTTAAATTTGGGGCCAAAAGTCCAGTGAAATTGTAAGCTTCAATAAAAGGATGAAACTCTGGGGTTCCATGTTTTCCACCATGATTTCTCAGCTACAGGTTCATCTACTCATTCTTCCAGTGACTACGTAAGTACATCCTATATACCAAGCCATGCAGAAAGCAGCAGCTCAGGGGGGACATGGCCTGTGTGAGGCTCCTGTCATTGGCCAGAGTGAAGTGAAGTGTAGGATAGCCGGCTGGGGGCCTGCCAGGCTCAGTTCAGTCTGGCCTCGAGGTCTATTCAGGAAGCTGTTTCGTAGCAGTTTTAGGGCTGGCATTGTGGCCTGAAAGCAGCTGCCTCAAACTTCATAGCTTGGCCTTTTCTATTTTCTCAGGCCCCAGTTTTATCTTCCAGACAAACTCCATTTATTAAGTCATAACTTCCCCCATTTTTATTAAGCACAGACATCTGTACTTGCAAGTCGGATCCTTAGATCAGCATAATACCCAGTCTACACTGAGTCTGTAATGAGCTGACCACATTTCAATCAAAAGCCAGAGACATCAGACATTCTAGTTTGCCAGGGGGCTTTATACTGGGTAATGGTGATTATCTTTTGGCTTTTTGAGATAAAGATAAGAGCTCTGAGGCCCTGCGCAGGGCTCTCCTCCCTGCAGTGGGTAGTTAGAAGTAACTATGACTGTTTTGCAGGTCAGTGAGGCCCAGCAGGTGTGTCGGGCTTAGCCAGGTCAGCTGCATTCTCCTCTGGGCTGCTGTAGTGCTAGAATCCCAGCATTAGATGGAATCCAGTTCCCAGAGGCCAGCCCCCATCCAGAGCTAAAATCCCCTTCATACCCCCTCCCTGTGAGTCTGGCCTCTGCTTGCCAACCTCCAGTGGCAAAGAATTCAGTGTTTTTCCAGGCAGCCCATTTCCTCCATGACTGGCAGAAACATCTTCCTGATGTGGATTCTAAATCCTGCCATCTTGAAAACCCCACCATTGGCTGTGGTTTTCTCTGGGGGCCACCCAAGACAGATATCACCCTTTCTGCATGCTAAACCTCTACATACATAGTGGAGCCTACTCTATATGCCACATTTTCCCCAAGTCCTCCCTTCCCTAGGCCAGATAGCCTTGGGCTCTTGAGCATTCCCTTGCTGAGCATCTCCCCCCTCAGCATCCTGGTCACCTCCGCTGAGTTTTCTTCAGTTTATTCAAGTCCCTCAGAGTGGAGGGCTGAGGCCTCCATGGTGCTGGGTTCAGCCAGCAGAGAAGGGGGTAGAACTGCAGCCATCGGAAGCAGTGCCTGTTGTTTCTTTGTTCCCACTGAACCAAGTGTCTGCTGAAACCGATGCTGCCAATTGTAGTCTCATCTTTGTGTTCAGCTGAGGCTGACGAGCCCAAGACCTGCATTGATCTTGTGAGCATGATGGTTGGTTCTGACCTTGGGCGCCAGCCCTCACACCTCATCCTGCACACTCATCTCCAAGCCTACCTATGCACTGTGCCAACAGCTTTGGATCCTAAGGCCAGTGGGAGTGTGGAATGGGCAGGAGAGCCCATCCTCCTGGTAGCTGCTGGAGCTCTGCCCCATCCACAGAGAGCTGGGCTGGTGAGTCATGTGGAGAGCAGGTATCATACTTAGACCACACATTCCACCTGCTCTGGGTAAAGCGGTGTGCCTAGGAGAGCAGTGCTTCAGCACTCCTGAGCTGGGTCCCTGGCAGCACCAAGGCTCTGCCTACCTTCTTGATGGCTGAGGTCAGAGGGAGCCCACAGCTCCATTAATCAAGTTAAGCAGACCTGGTGGTGTGCATAGCAGAGCTGGCCCCTGCCAGATGTCCCTGTTCCTCAGCAGAATAGCACTTCAGACTGTGTTCCACGTCCTGCTCTGGCAACAAGGCTCAGGGCCCTTGGCAGCCTTAAAGTCATCTCGGTGGCAGATGGAGCGTGTCTGGCCAAGTCTCTGGCTTTCTCTTTTTATCCTGTGAGTTCATAGAAAATAGATGCAAGTCCTGGTGTCCAAGAAGAAGGTAGCAGTAAATCAGCCTGTTAACCTGCTGTCTGCCCACCCTGCCGCCCTTACCTTCCCCAGGCCATTGGGCCTGTGAGCAGACAGACAGTTGTGCTAAGCGAGGTCCCGGCATCACAGGATTGGCACCGCATGAGGAGGCAGCACCATGTGTGCCGAGGCCTGGCTGAGTCCATCTGGGATTCCGTGTAGTGGTGGTGGGAGGTCAGCAGATAAGAGCATTCTAGTACCTTCTTGTCTTTCCTCCCCCCAGCTTCCCCACCTTCTTCTGCTCCTAACCTAAGCAGCACAGATTTTGTGCAATGACAAGGAAAGGGAACATTCAGTGCCAGGCTCTTAATTACAGTTGCTTCGGGCTGCTGGCTTCTGTGCCAAGTGGCCATGGAGAGTGTTTTATCACACCACAAAGCCAACAAGGTCGGGTCTGTGGTGTGTGCCCTTGCCACCTGGTGAGGGTGGGGCTGTGCTTGTGGCCCACTGGAGAAAGGCTGGGCCCAGATTAGTTCACACAGGCATCAAAACAGCCAGCCAAGTGCAGCCATGGGCTTCAGGGAGCCACTGGACCAGATGGAAATGCCTGTTGGGACCTTTAGAGCAGCCTCCAGGGAAGGCCTGTAATGGGGTAGGAAAGGGGTTTTTGGGAGGATGGCCAAGCTCTGGAAGGATGATGGGGACAGATTATACTGTGGGGTGTGGCCAAATGAGAAGTACAACAATAATCATGTCCACAAGGCTTCGCAGTTCACAAGGAGGGCTCCACGTGCTTCAGCATGCTTAATCTTCACATCAACCCTGCTTAGGGGACACAGGCTAAGAGAGGGGAAGTGACTTCACAGAGTCACACAGGCAGAAACCCAGGACAGAAGCTCCAGGCTTTTGCCACACACAGCTGTCTTTCCATGAGGGGTAGGGGCAGATCCCCCGAGCTGGAGCCTCCAGGGCAGCCCTCGCTCAGGGCAGCACTGTGGTGATGCTGGTGACCACCACATGCTCAGCGATTTTGGAGATGGAGCATCGGCTCTGCAAGGACAAGGACTTGTGACTGACAGAGGAGCGGGGACTAGGGACCTTCAGAGAGCCGCAGGGACCCCGGCCAGGCAGGCAGCAGGAGAAGGCAGCCTTAAACTGCTCCCGGAATTTGCCTTGGTTGGGAGACAAAAGACACAGCCATAAGGAGACAGATGCAACAGGAAGGGGCCTTGAGCCCAGGGACACCCACGCAGCTTCAGCCAAGCTGCCTGTGAGGGGTGGGGAGGGAGGGACGGAGCTGGGAGGAAGAGCCCTGAGGCCACCTCAGCACCGCCGCTGCCGCTGGGGAGCGTGAGGACAGAGGCCCTGGAGCGGGTTCCCAAAGAGAGACAATTGACATCTGATTACTTGACTGCGCTCTGGCTCCGAGGCTGGCTCAAACGTGGTGTCTGGCTCAGGGGCCTCAGGTCACCTCTGCCTTCCTTGGTGTGTATGTGGGCTCACTATCTGTTGCTAGGCTTGTCCCCTCTCTGCCCTTTGATCATGAAAATGATGGCAGCAGCAGCCCTTTTGCATATGGCAGTCACGCTGTGCTGGGTGCCTCAGCCTCTGCCCCCCAGAGTGTCCCAGCACCCAGAGAGGCTGGAGTCCTTTATCCTCACTTTACTGATGAGATAAACAGAGGTACAGTGGCTTGCCCCAGGCCACCCAGCCAGAAGCTAAACCCAATTAGAATTCCAAAGCCCTTCTCTTAAGCAGGCGGGGGAGGGGGGAAGGGAAGGAGGGACCACCCTACCACCCATACCACCTTGTTCAGCCCAAGTATACCAGGGAAACAGATTTTGTCGGGAGGAAGCCCCTTTGATCATGTGTCAGCCTGCCAGCCTCTCTGGTGCCCAGCACAGGGCCGAGCACACAGTAGGTGCTCAGTAAACATAGGCCAAACCAAGGCATATGTGTCAGGAAGTCTGCCCTCCTCTCCCCACAGGGCTCATCTCTTCTGTTCTTTTCTGAGCTGGAAACCTGCAGCCAGCCTTGTTGAGTAATTCTTGAGTCTCATTGAGGGTTATGCTATTGACTCCTGATCCCTTCTTTAACCTTTTAATAGTTCTTCAAAGATTATTTCTGTCCAGGCTTGAATAGTCATCTGGACCAGTTCTTTAGAAGCCTAGTCCCAAAGTCAGAGGACTGGTGAGTCACACTTCTGCTGAGTTCAGTGTCAGGGCCATTACCACCCCGAGACTGGGAGGTAGAGGGAGAAGTTGGGCACGGTGGGACAGCAGAAAGTGGAGCCCTGGAGTGGGAGTGGGGGCGGCTGGGAAGGAAGACTTCCAGAGGAGACAGCCCCTGAGATTCTGGTCACTCCGTCAGTGTGTGTCCAGCTGAGCAGGGGAAGCCCTTTCCCCAGGTCTAGCCTGTCTCTGCTGGTGACCCTCCTTTAAACCTGACACCTGGACTTTGCAATCCTTCCTCAGGCAGCGCTCCAGGGCCTTCCTCCCACAGGTGTGACTCCCTCTGGGGAAGATGGACTCCTCTACCTGTGCTGATTGGAGGTCCTGCTGTGCCAGCACCCGGATGGGAGTGGGGGTGAGCTGGCCTAGCCCCTGCCCTTCCACTCACTCACTGGTCTGCAGAATAGCCAAACTGGATCCTGGGTGCTGGCCACTGTGGATCTCTCTCTCAGGCCAGGGCTCCTTGGGGTGGGTCCTCCCAGAGCAGGATCACCGTGCCCACAGCAGGCATATCCTCACCTTTATCTGGGCCCTGGCTTGGGGATGGGGAGACTTGTCACGTGGACTCAGTAGCTGACTCCCCAGCCTGCTCACCGCTGAGGAAGTTGTAGATGATGGGGTTGGCAGCGCTGTTGGCGTACACCAGCCAGTGGGAGAAGGTGAAGCAGGCGTAGACAGCTTCGCGGTTGCTGGCTTGGCGGAACATCCCGAACACCCTAGGCTCAGGATGGAGAAGTATCAGAAATGGGGTAGCTGTGTGTGCATGTGTTGGGGTAGCGCTGCTCACAGAACCTGAGCTGTGAAGGGCAGGAGTTCCTACTGCCCACTTCCGTCCAAGTTTTCTGGCCTTCTGTATCTGAGGTCTTGGCCAGGGTTTGGGGTTCTAAGCATGGAGGGTGCCAGGCTCTGTGGTGGGCATCTCCAGTCTCCTGGCCATCAGATCCTCTGGGGCTTCCCATCCACTTTCTCATCCATCCTCACAGCAACATGGTGAGTCATAAACATCATCCATCTTTCCGTTAAGGAAACTGATGCTCAGAGAAGTAAACCACCATGCTGAAGATCACATAGCCAGGAAGTGGCTAATCTCCAAGTGAGACTGTCTTCTGTCCAGTAGCCTGCATTCTTTCCCTGACACCCTGTGGCCCTCATTGGCTCCCTCCAGACACATACATGGTTTACTCTCTCACTTCCTTCAAGTCTCTGCCCAAATGCCATTTCCTTGGAAAGGCTTTTTTTGTTTTTTTTTGGAGATAGGGTCTTGCTCTGTCACCCAGGCTGGAGTGCAGTGGTGCAATCATGGCTCACTGCAGCCTCGACCTCCTGGGCACAAGCTATTCTTCCACCTCAGTCTGTGTAGCTAGAACTACAGGCATATGCCACCATGCCTAGGTAATTTTTTGAATTTTAGTAGAGACAAAGTCTCACTATGTTACTCAGGCTGATCTTGAACTCCTGGCCTCAAGCGATCCTCCTCCCAACATGTTGGTATTACAGGCGTGAACCACTGCACCTGGCCCGCTGCTTTTTTTCAAACCATTATATCTAAAGCGAAAGCAAAAACCCACCAACCCTTGTTGTTGGCACTCTCCATCCTGTTTTGTTTTTCTTCCCAGCAGTGATCATTGCCTGACATGATCATACACGTTGAGTTTTCTATTTACTTCCCTCCTCTCCTATTAGAATGCAGCCTCCATGAGGCAGGGGTGTGATCTGTCTTATGCACTTGTTCACTGTATTTCCAGCCACCTAAAATGTGATGATTGAATGAATGAATGCGTGAATTTTCATGATAGCCCTAGGAGACAGAGGCTCAGAGAAGAGAAATGGCCTGCCCAAGGTCACACAGTGGAGAAGGGATGGAGCCAGGTCTTTCTCCCAAGCAAGGAGAGCTGTTTCCCCTGACCTCAAACTTCTCCCCACCCCAACCATACCCCATGCTCTCACCTCTTAAGGACATTGAGGACACTGATGGGCAGGTAGCAGAGGGCGAAGACCAGCAGCACCATCATCAGCATCTTGGCTGTCTTCCTCCGCGCATGCATCTGCTTCACTTCAGCCAGGAAGGTGCGGGCCCGGGGCTGGGGCTCTTCACTCAGGTCCCCCAGCTGGTCTGAGGGCCGCTTCCAGTTCCGCACCAGTGCTGAGGTGGTGCTGGGGATCTGTCCAGCACACATAGAGATAACAGCGGTGGGTATAGCGCCTTGGGAGGGTGGTTGCCTTTTGTGGGGCCCACTCCAGGCTGGACCCTGGGCAGGGTGGAGATGGGCAAAGGGAACAAGCCCTTGCAAGAGGAAGGACCCTAATGTTTATGATAAAGACACTCTGGACTTGAGAGTGAGCAATAGACTTTCTTTTTCTTTTTCTTTTTTTTTTTTGAGATAGAATTTCACTCTTGTCACCCAGGCTGGAGTGCAATGATGCGATCTTGGCTCACTGCAACCTCAGCCTCCTGAGTAGCTGCGACTACAGGTATGTGCCCCCATGCCCAGCTAATTTTTGTATTTTTAGTAGAGATGGGGTTTCACCATGTTGGCCAGGCTGGTGTTGAACTCCTGACCTCAGGTGATCCCCCTCCCTCAGCCTCCCAAAGTGCTGGGATTACAGGCGTGAGCCACTGTGCCTGGCCTACACTTTGATTTTCCATTAGCTCATTGTGAAACCCCCTGCAACATGCCTTGTGGAAAGATATTATTGGCCCTTAGGTATAGATGAAGCAACTAAGACTCTGAGAGGTGGGGACCCTTGGCAAGGCCCCAGGCCACATCCTCTCAGCTGCCCATCCATCCTCCCTAAATCTCCAACACTATCTTTGAGGGTAGGGGTGAGGGTGAGTTGTGCCTCCCCTGGGTCATACCAGACTGTGGGGAGGCCTGGGCAAGGGGTGAACAGGTGGGCAGCATGGAATGGCCTGGGCCAGTGCCCATAACCCTGGGTGTTTCTGGGCTCCTGGAGAAGCCTCTCCTACCACTGGACACTTGAGTCACCCACAACAGAGGGGTATGGCGCTATAGTTCCAGAAGCATGTCTAGAGGCAGCTCAGACATTTGTGAGCTATGTGACCTTGGCTGCCTCACTTACCTTTCTCAGCCTGACTTTCATGTCTGTCAAATGAGGAGGATTGTGCCTGTGTCCTGCTTGGCTGGGGCATTGTGGGAGCAGATGATCAGTGTGGGTGGACTGCAGGTCTGGCCACCCAGGAAGAGCCCTACTGGGCTGTGTGCTCCTCCCAGGCAGGACTTGGGTCTCAGCCAGTCCGTGTCCCCACCCACTGCCTGGCATGGCCTGGGTGCAAGCCAGTACTGTCTGTAGAATGTAGGTGACGTCCCCAAGTGTGAGAGTCCCTTCCTGAGCCTGATCATGTTCTGGGTTACATTTTCTTATTTCCCAGACACCAACCTAGGACTCCCAGTCACTAGGCCAAGGGCCTCTGAACACCCCTGCCCCCAAAAAACCTTGGAAACCCACTGTGGGCCAGTCTGCAATGCAGGGAAGAAGACAGGCCTGGAACCAGAAGGCTCTGCACTGTCGGCTGTGGCAAGTGGGTCCCTTATTTGCCGTTTGTGACATGGGTAACGTTGCTTCTTTTGTTAGATAGTTGTTAAGACATTGGATGCAAAGTGCCTAGTTTGGCAAGCAAGACAGAGCTGCTATTATTACTGTTGCAGTGGGGCTCACAGATCTGGGTTTTACTTTCTGATCTACTAGCTGAGTAGTTTGGGGGAAGTTATGTTGATCTTCTGGGTCTCGGTTTTCTCATATATTTAATGGGGGCAATAAATGATGTTAAGAGGATGTGAGACTATCTGGGAGTGGATGGTTCAATACATGACAGCCACTAATATTAGAAGGATGTATTACTACTATTGCATTCCAGGGTGGCCACTAGCACTTTTTGCCTTGAGTTCGATGTGTCTCTGGGCGTCCCCTCTCTCTGGTTGCAGCCAAGATGGCATGTGCTGATGGCGGAGGACTGTCTACTCTGTTAGGCCAGTAACACCCACCCCAGCCCACATGGTGACACCAGAGTGGGCCTTACCTGGCGGCCCCAGAGCTTGCGGAATATCTGGAAATAGGCCATGGCCATGAGACCCAGTGGGGCCAGGTAGGTGACAACGAAGAAGCAGCTGTGGTAGATCTTGGGATAGAGGTCATCTGCAGGGGTCAAAAGGTACAAAGTCAGGCCCCATCTGGGAGCCCCACCCTGCCCTGGTTAGCAATGCCACCCTGTCCTGACTAGGGCCAAAGTAAGGCCTAGGAGCAGCTGGACCCCATGCAGCCAGCATGACAGACAGAGACCCTGGAGTTATTCAACTTGGGGTGTTCATCCTGGAAGGATGTCTGCACTAGAGCAGATGTCTACATAAGAGGAGGTACCCACCCTGGGATATCCCTGGTAGGTGCCAGCCTAGGGTGTCCTCTAGGGAGATACCTGCCCTGGGATTTCCTACCCTGGAAGGGTCCCTGCTAGATGCCTGCCCTAGGGGTACGTGCTCCTGAAGTGCCCACCTGAGGGGATGCCTGCTTGAGGCTTCCACCATTACCTGCCCACTGTTCATCACAGACAGAGAAGAGCCATGTTCGGTTGGCTAGCTCGGGCAGTACACTGCTGCATTCCATGACTAGAGCCTGGGGCACCATGACAGCCAGTGACACAGCCCAGATGCCCAGGATGGAGCCACGGGCCCGCCGGGCTGTGCTCTTGAACAATAGCGGGTGGCAGATGGCATACCAGCAGTCCAGGGCGATGAAGCTGAGAGTCAGCACTGCCACTGATACGGACACAGCCTGGCCCATGGGGACACAGCGTCAGTCATTTTGGGGGCCACTCAGAGATGGGAGAGTAGGTGAGTGAGGAGGCTGACAGCAGGTGCAGTGCAGGGCAAATCCTGACTCCACTACTTACTGGCTGTGTAAATGTGGGCAAGTCACTCTTCCTCTCTGAGGCTTGTCTACAGAATAGGAATATACCATCTACCTGGCAGGATTCATGTGAAATCATGTATAAATAATGTCCAGCTTCAGACCTGGCACATGGTAGGAGCACCCCTACTGTGAATAATAACTTGCACCTACAGAACTTACTGTGTGCTGGCCACTGTTCTTAATATCCTCACATCAACCCTACAAAGTAAGTGCTCTTACCCCCGTTACAGATGAGGATACTGAGGCACAGAATTCCCTCATCCTTCTGTCTTTATGCTCAGAGTCACCAGAGTTAACTAGTTGAATGGGAAACCTCAAAACAGTGGGAAATCGAACAGGCATTTCTCTGCCCTGGAATGCCATTCGTTCCCTAGGCTGTTAGGAAAAAAATCCTCATACTGGGAGGCAGAGATGAGTCTGGGCCAGAGGTGTGTGGGCATTGCCTCCAGGGGTGGATCCTGCCCTCTGGAGTGCAGGAAGTGGATCAAAGGGTACAAACTGAGAGAAGTCTTCCTTTCACCCCACTCACACCATCTGGACATCCTGGTTTCCACCACTGGGGCTTCTCCTGGCCAGTGCGGGAGGGAGAGGAGGAGGCTGTTTCCATCAGGACCCCTCATGTCTGCCCCTTTGGGACTGGGGAGCAGGCCCAGAGTGTTGTGTATGTGTCTCTGTGGGCTTGTGCCTCTCCTCCACTGTGTGCCTGTGTACCTGGAGGTGACTACATTTGTCCACATTTGATATGTCTGTGACTGTGACCAGGAGGGGATCTTTGTGAGTGTGTGGGGTTGTGTCTGTGTCCTTGAGTGTCTGATCTGGTGAGTTGCCCTTGCCTGCAGTAGAGGATGACACTTTAGGGGTCACGAGCCACTGACCTGTCTGAAAGGCAAGTCTGAGGGTCATGAAGGCCTATGCAAGGCTGTGGGTTTTGTGCAGGTGTGACAAGGAGTAGTGAGGGGCGCCTGGGCAGAGCTCACCTGTAGATAGGGGATGACCTTGCAGAGGGCATGGCCAAAGAGCCAGGACTCAGTGATGTCTACTAGCAGGCTGGCTGGCAGGCAGATGGCCGTCACCAGGACATCAGCCAGAGACAGGTTCACGATGAAGTAGTTGGTGACTGTCCTCATCTGGTGGTTCTGCCAAACGGCCAGGCAGACTACAGGGTGCAGCAAGGTGAGGTGAAGCTGGTGGCAGAGTCACGCCCATCCTAGTTCTGCCCAATCAGCGAGTCCCTCCCCACACCCACCTCCTTCAGTCCCTAGGGAAAGCCAGCAGCACTGCAGGGCAAGCTCCGGACCTACCCAGCATGTTGCCCACCAGGGCCACGAGGAACACAGCTACATAGGCTGCGATGAGGACCCACTCATACTGCTTTGGGTACAGATAATCGTGCCACAGATAGCGGAGAAACTCGTCTTCATAGTCTGGAGGCACAGGGGACGGTTCCCTGCTGCCAGGGGGGACCCCCATCTGGGCCCCTAGGGTGGCTGAGGGCTCCATGAGTTCAGGAGGTGCGGCAGCAGAGAGGCATCCTAGGCTCTGTGGAGGAAGAGGAGGGAACCCTGGACCAGCCCTTAGCCGGCGCCCCTTAGGGTATCTGGAAGCTTGCACCCAGGTCTTTTGGGGTTTCAGCCCCAAACTTCCTGAAGGGAGGAAGGAAAGAAAGGAGTGGGGAAAGAGGGAAGGAAGGAAACATGAGGGAGTGTGGCAGGCACTTTCCATATAAGTTTCCTCTTAATTCTCACAGTCATTAAATTGATGAAGACAGACCTGGGTTGCATCCCAATTCCACAGAAGTTGCCTTAGGTAACTTACCTGGCCTCTTTCAGCCTTGGTTTCCCCATCCATCTAATGGGGTGATAATCCTAGCTACCTTACAGGGCCGAGATGAGGAGTAATGAACTCTGGTGCATGCCAAATGCCTCACCAAGAACCTGGCACAAGAAGGTGGTTTGGGGGATGTTTCCGGCTACTCTTATTAGGGTACCCTGCTTTGCAGATGAGACGGAAGCTCAGGGAGATTGAGTCCCTTGCTCAAGGTCACAAAGCTCCTAAGCCACGTCTGTCCAAACCCACCAAACACCATAGATTTAGGAGAAAAAAGCCATCCCGATTTCAAATGTTTCTTGAGCCAGTTCACAGGCTTTAATTTTGGGTTGGGAAAAAGGGTCAATGGAGGTGTTAGAGACTCAAACCCCACCCGCCAGACCTGCCAGACCTGCCAGACCCTCCGGTGGGCGCGCGCGTGCACACACACCACACAGTCGGGGTGGTTCGGGGAGGGACTGATGACCCCTCGGGAGCAATGGGGGCGTCCACGCCCCCTGCGGGGCCCCCTCTGGGTCCCCAGGGCCGCGACGCTCCCCGACGGCCGCCAGGAGCCGCTGTTCCGGCACGCTGGCCGCTCTCCATTCATAAATCCAGCCAGCCCGGCTCCTCGCCTCTCTCTCCTCCCGCACTCAGCCCCTCCTTCACCCGGCTGGCCTGGGAAGACCCCTGCCGGGTGCCGGAGGGTTGCGGATCACTGGAGACCCCTGGGGAGGGAGAGGGGACGTCTTCGTACTCCACTGAACGCCGGCAGGCCCGCTCCGTCCGCGGGACCTCCCTGCAACTCGGGGGCTGCGGAGTCTCCCGGGAGGCGGGGGAAGCGAGGGCACTCGGGGTTCCGCGGGAGCCTGCCTGGAGGAGAGCAGCGCCGGCCGGGGAGCCAGTCTCCCAGCACCCCGATTATCACCCGAGAATCTTGGCTCCCCTCATCCCTCGCCGCAGGTCCTTTGGAACCCCATCCCGGGCCTGGGGGGGGGTCCCCCACGCCCCGCACCTGTTGACTCCGGGACCCGGGCGTTCTCTGCTGCTGGTGCCCGGACCTGGCACCGGGAACTTCACCTTCCTGCGGGGAAGGCCGGACCTCTGGGGTCCAGGGCTGCGGGAGGGGCCGGGGTAGCCCCCTCACTAGGCTGCGCTGCCTCGGCTGGAGGGGCTGAGCACGAGCCCGGGCTACTGCGCGGGCTGTGGCTCCGCGCGGGCCAAGCCGGGCTGCGCGCTGCGGGGAGGGGGGCCGGTGGGAGAGGCAGGGCGGGGTGGGAGCCCCCAGCAGGTCTCGGTTCCGTGTTTTCCAGCCCCGAGACCCGCAGGGCGGAGGGAGACGCTCGCTTCTTCTCCCCTCCCACTTCACACTTCCATCCCACCTTCATTCATGCGTCCATCCGTTCATTCACTCCATCCTCATTCATTCCACATTTATGCCCCTGGCCACCCCGCATTCTGGGCGTACTTAGTGTGTGCCGGCGGACCTGGCAGCTTCGGAGGGCCACAGTGCATAGGTGGAGCCCAGCCCCGCCTCTCCTTGCTGCCTCACCTAACTGAGGAGGAGGATGGCACAGACGAGTCACAGGAGTGGGACAGAGAGGATGCCGGCACCGCCTCCAGCCCAGCTCCGGATGCTTCTGGAACAACTAGCTCCCAGCGATGCCAGAGAGCTCTGCTGTCCTATCTCCCAGCACCTCCTCCATCCTATCTGCCCCCAATTATTCTTTTTGTTATACCTACTGCTCTCCTCCTGGTGGGGGCAGGAGTGGGGGTTCATTAATTCCACAAATAACGATTTATTAAGCTATGTGCCAAGCAATGAGTTATATTAATAAAGCTACATGATGCCTGATCTCATTTAATTTTCACATCAACCTGGTGAGGTAGCTATTATTGTCCCCATTTTACAGATGAGGACACTGGACCTACATGGTGCAATGACTTGCCCAAGGTCGCACAGCAGAGTCAGAGCTGGGCTTCAAGCCTGTGCCTCTCTCAGGTCTACCAGCCTCTCTCACCAGATGGAGGCTCCTGCCCTGCAAAGTCTCTCTGGTGGCTGGCTTGAGGAGGCAGGTGCACAGCCAGGCAATTTTCCCTTGGTGTGAGGAGAGTGTGAGGGACCTGGGGACTGTGGGGCACAGGAGGACAGATGACTCAGCCAGGTCATGAGAACAGGCTTCCTGGAGCAGGAGCATCTCCATGGAGACCTGAAGAATAAGAAGTAACCCTGCAAGGGAGATTGTGGTATTCCAGGTGAGGTATTCAAGGTCAGGAAACAGTAGGTGCAAAGGCTTGAAGATTGGGGTTTCTGGAAATCACTCACTCAAGGGTAGGTGAAGGATAACTGCCTGAGCATTAAGCAGTCACCTTGGCCATTCCCTCAGGATAGGACCTTCCTAACACGTCACCCTCTGAAACTCACACTCTTTCCCTCTTGGGAGGTGATTCCTGGGATGTAACCGCCATCTTTCCTGTTACAGCCAAAGCCCTTTTCAAAGGCTCTGGAGATGCACCATTAGGCATAGGAGGTGTGGAAGAGGAACTGGAGCAGCACAAGGAACTGGAGCGGGGCCGATGACCTTCACCTCTGCAGAGCAGGAGGATGGACTGAAGCTAAACCCAAGGCAGAACTTTGTCCTTGGGCAGATACGGCATCTACATGGTAGGTGATGTCCTGTCGGCCCTAGGTGCTGGCTGAGATAGAAGATGGAGTGAAGGGACTCAGAAGAGGGGCTGAAGTGTGTGTGTGCATGTGTGTCTGCATATGTGTGCATGTGTGTGTCTTTGTGTTTGAGTCTTGAATTCAAGTAAGGGCTGTGGTGTGTGTCTAGGGAATCCTATGTGTGTGTGTGTGTGTGTGTTTGTCTGTGTGTGTGTGTGTCTGACTGTGCATATGAGCAGGGTATGGGCTCTGGGTTAATGACTGGCATCACCCTGGGTGGGATGTGTCTGTCTGGGTTTTGATCTGTCCCTGTGCTTTGGCCTTTTTGTCTATGAGGAACGTGTATGTATGAGGGGGTGTCTGTTTCTCAGTGTGGATCTGAATGCTCAACTGTGGCTTTGACTAGTGCTTGTGAGGGTGGACATGCCTTTGTGTGCAAAGCTCTGTGAGTGTGCGTATGTGGAACTTGGTATATCTGTTCTCACAGCAATGACTCATCTTACCCCCCTGAATTCTCTCCCCAACCTGGAGCTGTGACTGTTTGCCATGTTGAGGCTGAGGAGGGGGATGCACCATGTGGGGGGGATGGGAGGCAGATCGTGCAGGGACACGCCAATGACAGCTTCAGCAAACAAGGTGCAGCCAGCGATGTGGAAGGTACAGCTCCATGTTTGTCTGTGTGGGCGGTAGGCACCAGCTGAGCCCAGCACAGCCCAGGCTTAGAACCTAACCCGGAATGCAGATCTCCATAATTCGGGGCCTCCCAGATACCCTGGGTTGGAGTGGGCAAGGGGCCCACCAGGTTCCCCAAGTCATGATACAGGTTGGTGCATGTCTGTGTCGGGAGGAACTCACGGCTGATAACTCCCCCAGTACACAGTTTCACAGAGCCAGTCCCAGCTCCACTCAAGAGGACGCTCAATTGCCAACCTTCCCCAACCCTTTATCCTTTGGTTCCCCAAAGATGACTGCTCCCCAGGTCAAGGGGTCCTGAGAGGCTCCTGCCACACACAAGCAACAGATCTCTCTGTCTCCCCTATCAGACTCTGGCCAGGTATTTTCAAGCCAGCGGCAGGAGCCAGGGCTCTGGCCTAGAGGAATTAGACCTCGCAGCATCTCTGGTCATGAATCTGGCCTATTTAGCCACAGCCTGAGGGTGGGAGAGGCCAGTTATTTGGCCTAGATGGGCATGAGAGAGTGGGTGTATGCTCAGAGAAAATCCTCGGAGTGAGGCGGTAGGAACCAGCAGAGCTCTAGAAGGCCTACAAGGAGCTGCAGGCTTTTGGTCCTCTGGCACAACAGCACTGGCCTCTGGGAACCCCTGGCAAAATGCCCATGTCCAAGGGAGGGCCCCAGGGACCTCAGGTCCTCCATGTCCAGGCTGGGCTCCCGGCCCTGGCGCCTCCTCTGCCCAGGGAGGGCTAGCCTCAAGCCTCTGCTGTGCTTGAGCTGTCTGTCAACAGGGGCCCACATGACCTCTTTCCTGGAACCAGCCAGCCCCAGCCTTGTTGATCTAATCCTGAGCCTCTGAGCCACAGGTCCCGGTCAAATCCATCTTCAAGTGTCACCCTAGGCACTGGCCCCGGTTGCTACCTCCTCTTCCCTCCCAATTCTGATGTGACTTACAGTAACCTCTGTCTGGCTAAGACTAGAATAATTGAAATATAATTGGGTTTCCTCTTGCTAATGCTGCTACAGACCTGGGAACGTGGATAGGAAAACTCTGCGCAGGGCAGAGGTGCTTCGTAGAAGAACAGAGATCAGGCAGCAGGCTGAGGTATGGGACTGGGTGAGGGGAGGCTGTGTGGAGGAAAGGGGGGTTCTCAGGGCAGCGCCTAGGGAGGTCACTGAGCAGCTGTGGTGTTATGGTCTTTGGGCCAACAGCAATGGCCTCTGGGAGCTTATGCCCAGGGAGGGACCCAGAGACCTCCTGTTCCCCATATTCATGTCCTCAGCCTTTGTGCCTCTTCTCCTCTGGATGGGCCTCCTCCTTCAGGGTCTGTGTGGCTTGAAGGGGACAGGCAGCCACCAGGAGAGGAGGAGCCCAGGACCCAGAGTCAGGCATTCTCTGTGACTCCAAAAGCTAGAGCATCTTCCTTTTTTGTTTTGTTTTGTTTTTTTGAGACAGTCTTGCTCTGTTGCCCAAGCTGGAGTGCAATGGCTCAATCATGACTCACTACAACCTCCACCTCCTGTTTAAGCGATCCTCCTGCCTTGGCCTCCCAAAGTGCTGGGATTACAAGCGTGAGCCACTACTCCCGGCCAAGAGTGCATCTTCAAGCCAGTGGCAGGAGCCAGGGAGAAGGGGCTGGAGCCAGCAGCCTTCTGTCTCTCCACTCACTCATATACTCACTCAACAAACAAATATGGAGGCCAGATGAGCTGCAGAGATGGGGGCCCTCCTGGTTAGGCTAGGGAGACCTTCATGGAGAAGGGTAGACAGAGTGGTGTCAAATGCATCAGTATGGAGCCTGTGGAGGCAGGCTGGGGGCGGAACGGGACAGCACCAAAACAGAGCACAAGAACCACCGAAAATACATCCCCTCCCTCCCGCCCCCACCCCACCCCTGGTGTTGAGGAGAGGTCAGGAGCAAGGCTTTGGGGTCAGGAAGATGGGGATTAGACACCATTCTGCTGCTTTCTACTGGACAATCTTGGGCTGGTCACTTCCTTCGCCTCTGGGATAGGCTGAGTAATGACCCCGAAGATGTCCACAGGACCTGTGACTATGTTCCATGGCAAAAGGGGGTTTGCAGATGTGGCTAAATTAAGGATCTTGAGATGAGGAGCTTATCCTGGACTGTGCAGGTGGGCCCGGTGCAATCACACGGTCCTTGTAAGAGGGAGCTTTGTAAGAGGGTCAGAAAGAGAAGACACGATGATGGAGGAGGGAATGCAGTCCCGCCAAGCCCTGGATTTTAGCCCCATGAGACTCATTTTGGACTTTTGACTTTT